ATATATAACATGTTTATATATTTTATATAATCTTAACATTAAATAGAAATATCTGAAAGTTATTCTGTAAATAACATTAATAGTTACCTCCTTTCCGTTCAATTATTTTCACACATTTGTCATCATATTCTGGACAAGTTTCTCCCCAATACCATAACCAATTTAAAGGTGTCCCACATCCAGGATGGTTACTGTTACATCTATAACAATATAAGCTATCACCTGCAATTAGAATCTCATTATTTCAATGTGAATTTTAAATCAAGAATTATGAAGAGAGAATGATAACCACGCCCTTTTATAACAAGGTAAAATACTGCACCTTGACTTGCCAAAATAAAAAAAAAAATTGTAAAAAGAACTTTTCTCATCATTAGTGTGCTGTAATAAGAAATTTACGTTGTTTTATATTTTGTACAATGTCTTGTTTACAAATATGAGATATGTGAGAGACTGAGAGACTGAGAGACAAGCCCATATTATGTGCATCATACATCATAGGCTGCGGAAAACGCTAGAAATGCTTCGAAACATTTGATTGACCAAACAGGACAAAGATTGCGGTCGAGAAGACGCTAGAGATGCTCCGAAGCATTGCATTAGCGCCGGTCCACAATAGGTGATTTAAGCCCTAAGCCTTATGCCCGTATCAGACTACCGGGCTTTAGTCGTAAGCAAATTGACCAACCACAGTCTATTATTCCAAGAATATTCTAGGAATAATCCGAGAATATTCGACTGTAAAGGGCCGTCTACAATGGCAGTAACAAGGCTGTATGAGTAGGAGAGTATACTGTTTTTAGTGATGTAAAGACCGAGAGTAACGAAATGGGCAATTCCCATTTGCTCTTAAAAGTATACTCTCCTACTCCTACAGCCTTGTTACTGCCATTGTAGACGGCCCTTTACAAATTGTGGACCGGCACTTAAGCTCGGTCTACAATGAGTCGTTAGTCGTTAGGCCGATATTACATTTGTCGTACGACAAACTTTTTAAGCGCATTGATTAGCTAATTTCTAGAGACTCAAGAAAGTTTCTATTTTGCGGCCAATCAATATGCTTAAAAAATTGGTCGTACGACAAATGTAAAGGGCCGTCTACAATGGCAGTAACAAGGCTGTAGGAGTAGGAGAGTATACTTTTAAGAGCAAATGGGAATTGCCCATTTCGTTACTCCTCGTCTAAACAAGGGCCGTCTACAATGGCAGTAACAAGGCTGTATGAGTAGGAGAGTATACTGTTTTTAGTGATGTAAAGACCGAGAGTAACGAAATGGGCAATTCCCATTTGCTCTTAAAAGTTTTAAGAGCGACATGCGATCAATGTAGAACGGGCTTAAGCGGAGAGCACACACTTTTGCATAAGCGCATAATCATAAGCATAAGGAAATTGATTGGTCCATTTTGTTATGCATAACAAAATTGACCAATCAATTTCCTTATGCTTATGGTTATGCGCTTATGCAAAAGTATGTGCTCCCAGCTCAAGGCTGCGTTCGGAAACATCCCGTGTGCACACGAGCGTTGTTCTATCTTTGTTATTTACTAAAAGTTGAACAAAGATAGAAGGATGCTCGGGTGCTGTTTCTGAACGTACCATAATGGGGAGATGTCACTGTAGAGACTGCGCGGTCTAGATATCATACTTCTATGGATAGTCCTAAATCTTTTCTTTATCTGCATTTTTTTTTAGTTTTTTATCTTATTTTTCTCTCTCCAATATTTAAAGTTTGTTTATTTATTATCTGTTTTGTGTATAGAAAGTATAGTACGCAGTTTTTGTGTAGAGTCAAAACGATATAGTGTATATATATATTTCATATCGTATATATATTTATTTTCTATAAATGATATATGTTATGCTATGATTTCAACATGTTTTTCAATGTTTCTCGAAACACAGTATTCGATGTATCGCCACTTTTCAGTCTTTTTGAATATTTTATTCATTCTTCTCCGAGGTACGTTTATTTTCTGTATATATGTATAGTAGTTTATCGCAAATTTTGTTGATTTGTTACACATTTTAAAATATTCTATTCAAAAGCATTAAAAAGATAAATATATTAAGCAAAAAATTATTCAACTAAATTATAAATGAAATAAGACATAGTCTGCATAAGATCTTATTTTTTGGAGGTTATATATATAGTTGAAGATTAAATTCATTATAAAAAATTTCAATTAATATAATTTAAAATTTTTCTTTTATAATAATCTCCCAGTAATTATATAGTAATGATAATATAATTGTATTAATATAATTGTTAATACAATTATTGTAATATATATATATATAAATAATAGAAAATAATAATCAATATTATTTTGTTTTATAATTACAAAAAGAATGGTAATATAGAGAAATAATAATAAAATTTAGAGTTTAGTTATATTTAAATTGTAATAAAATATAATTACAAGTGTAAGAGCAAGAACAGCCAAGTATTTAAGCAAATACTAAAGTATTTTAATGCAAATACAATGTTTGAACTGTGAACATATTGATAAACCTAATAAATTTTTTACTTACAGTGAATCACTGTACAATACCGCAAGCGAGTCAGGAAGATCTGCTTCACTCATTTAAGAGCTATTCTGATGTAGCAATGTTTCATTATACTGTACCAAAAGATGTGTTTCGAGCTACATGGCATTTTGCTGCCTTTATGGACGATCCTACATGCCAATCACGGAAAGTTTATATGTAAATAGTTTTTATCTAAAATTACATAATTTTTACCTAAAACTACACTAATATGATTTTTGCACAATATTACGCAAACTATATACAAAGACTTTTTTTAATGCTTTTTTTTTAACAAGAATAAATTTTTTAGATAATTTTGATTTTTTTACTTTATCTATATCTATATTTTATATTAATATTTATTATTATATTTACTCTTTTCTATTTCTTTCTTTCTCTTTTTCTCTCCAAGTAAGAAAAAATAAGGCTTGTGTATATATATATACGTTTATTTGTATATCATATATATAAGGTACTGTCCATAAAGAAACTGAACTTTGAAAAAAGCGCCCGAATGCGATGACATGCGACCATCTGTCTTGTGGCATTGTGTAGTGTGTAATGGGATTCTTTAGCAACTTTCTCACATCATGAGCATGACGCTATCATTCTTAATTTACGTTTTATGATGATTTGAATGAGTTCGTCGTTCGTGGCGATTCTCTAGACATGGCGATTTTTTTTTTTTTATTTTCTTGCAGAGTTTGAAAGAGACAGTGAGAAAGGAGAGTAGGGGGCTGAACGCTGAACAACAGTCGTCGCGTATTTCGCCTAAAATTCATTGATAAGGAACAACGCGGGTGCATTGTCGTGATGCAGTATCGATGAATTGCTGCCACGCCTCCGGCCGCTTCTTTCTCATTGCCTCTCTTAGACGCTGCAAGAAAATCTAAATAAAAAGTTTATTTTGTAGATTATTTTTATTATTAGTTTATTTTGATCTAAAAAAAAGAAAAAAAATTGCCACGAACGCCGAACACAACCTCATTCAAAACAACAAAAAACGTAAACTAAGCACGATAGCATCATGCACGTGATGTGAGAAAGTTGCTAAAGAATCTCATTACACAGTGCCACAAGGCATCAATGGCCCACACATTCGGGCGCTTTTCTTTGAAGTTCGGTTTTTTTATGGACAGCCCTTGTATATGTAATTTGATTTAATGTGATTCAACGTAAAAGTTTTGCAAGAACTTAAAATAACGATAATCATGTCGACAAGATAAATATCTGTTGCACCATTTTATGAAACATTTTTCCTTTCCAATAGGATTTAAACATTTATGTCAATTATTTTTTCTATTTAGAATATATATTCCATCCGGAGTATGGAGTTTCCATTTGTCAGTTTGGAACTGCAATTTCTTGTTACACAATGTTCAAGATATTCGCGAACCTTGCATTGAGGCTATGTCTCTAAAAGGACGTTCTTTACCAATATTCAATCATCTTTATCCTATGGAATCCAAATACCTAACTACAAATGCTAGTTACACTTTCACAGAATCTTCTCCTTATGAAGATAGTTATTACTATTTATTAGTCGTTTCGAAAAGCGTTATCGAATTCAGCGTCAAGGTCGACATATTAGGTAATTTTTAATTAATAAATATTATTTACTCTTAATCTTAATTTATTATATACTAATCTATATATTTTGAAAAATGAGCGCGAATACAATATATAAATATGCAAATTATTGGCAAATATACTCTCCAATTCTAATATAATGGGGAATGTTTTTATAAACGCGTATATTGTCGTGGACAGAAAAGTTATAACTCTTTTGTTCGATGAGTTTCAATGTGCACAAGAATGTTGTGAAACTTTTTTGCAGTGTTTCTATGTTACGAAAATTCATCGAAAAAAAGTATTAAATTCTTTCTTTTAGTTACAATAATCGATTGTAAAGCGAAAAGTGGATATAAAATATGCAACATATTAAACTTTTTGATGCGTTGCATTTTTCGCTGATTATCACGCCCTTTTAAAATTTATTTTTAATATGCAGTCCGATGTTTCACAGTCAAATTTCTCAATTTTAACCTTTAAAGTTCATGTATGGGCCATTTTGACTTTATCGATATTATAACAATTATCGATTATTTTAACAATAAAAGATCTCGAAGTCTTTAATCAATAAAAAAATGTTTAAAATTTATTTTTTAATTTTTGTTGTACATGATTTTCTACAGAGATGTCAAGGAATATATATAAATTTTTGTAGATTTCTTTCAAGCATATTGAGACAGCTAAAACTGTAATAAGACATTATGACCCATATGTGACCAGGAACAGAGTAAAAAAAAATGTGACCTACAAGATTTAATCTTTTTGAGAACGAGCATTTTTTTCTATTCTGAGTTCTCTTCCCCCCCCCCCTTACTCCTCTAACTCCCTCCCTCTTCCTCTTCCTCCCTCCCTCTCCCTCTTTCTCTCTCCCTCCCTCCCCTTTCTTTTCCCTTTCCCCCCCCTCTCTCCTCTTCTCAGCATTCCCCTGCTCTCCCTTTTTCTATATAGTATCTACTCTTATTTTTGTTATGATATGCATGAGATGATAATGGAAAAGCGAGTGGAGACGAAAGATATGCATGTCCATATCTTGTTCATATGGTTATTTGATCACTTACCAAATTATGTATAGTGAGAGGACAACACAACGAAAGGAGAAATTCAGTTTAAAGAGAAACAGTTAATTCAGAGTAGAGATTAATTCATCATAAAGAGTTTATAATAAAGAAAGCTACTGTAGTTGATTAGCAATTATGTAACTATTTTATTTTATTTTTCTATTTATTTTATTTTATATAAACTAATGGATTATCTTGTTCAACATAATGAAATAAATAATAAATGATTTCAGGGTGTCCAATCAGATTAACAGATGTATCTTTTACAAGAAAATATATCGATACTTTTTTAAGTTTTAATTCCGTAACAGGATCAAATACCAAAGATGTATTAAAATACGAATGGTCTTATAAAAATAATAATGCTAGCAGATTTTACAATAGAAACAAGTTCTATCAAAAAAACGAAGAATATGAGACTGATAACGAATGTATGCCAAGATATCAATTGGTGCGCGTGAAACACGCGGAGACATTTTCAACTGTTTATCTCTTGCAGGTAATATTTGTCAAAATACAAATATGTATAATAACCAGGGTTGGGAAAGTTACTTTATAAAAGTAACTCGTTACTATTACCGTTCTTTTTTCTAAAACGTAACTCGTTACCGCTATCATTACTCAAAAAATAACGAGTCGTTACAATTTCCGTTAGTTTTTTTATATATAACACAAACTTTACATACAATTTTTTTTAAATACAAGATCAATTTAAACACTAAAAAATTTTAAACATTATCTTACGTAGAAAAAACAAGATACCAGAATAAACTTCCAGTAGTTTTTATGTAGTGCTGCATTCCAACACTCTTATCAATATATTCCTTTGTATGAAAATTATACCGAGTGAATTCGAAAAAAGTAACGATAAAAATAACTGTTAAATTCGTTACTCGTTACCGAAAAATATAACAAAGTTACTTTTTCCGTTACAAAGAAAATTTGTAACGCCGTTACTGTTACAGTTATCGAAAAAAGTAACTATAACGGTAACGACGTTACAAGTAACGCGTTACTTCCCAATCTTGATAATAACAAGAAACATAAAACACGCCTGCGCGCGCGTATATCGACTATACTTTCTTTTATATACTACATCAATTATATTTTCTTTGCAGATTTCTTTCTCTTAATCAATTTAGAATAAAAATGATTTTTTTCTTATCCATGATTTGACGAAAAATAATATCATCTATTAAAAATTATGATTTTATTAAAGTTTACTCAAAATTGTTTGCAAAATTGTTGTATATTTTTATTATTTATTTTATTATAAGATCGCAAAATTAAAATTCCATAAAGTTTTTACTTATGATATGAGCCTATTGATTTAGTGTCTAACATTTTTTAATGAATTAAGATGAATTAAGAAGTATATACATGGATATACAAATCTGTATAGATTCTAACTATAAGAGAAATATATCGTTTGCAATACCTATAAGAAAATTGTTTTTCAAATCAAAGTTGCTATAATATCAATATTCATATTTGATATTTTTCAGAGAAAAGAATGGTTAAGTTCACAGTTAATACTAACTGATTCAATTCCGATAATGACGCAATTTGATATTTTGCCATTAATCGATATTGGTGGCACACTTGATATCGATGTACATTTGGAAATAGAAAAGGTAAGCAAATATCTGTAGATGTTTTATCTTTAAATTTTTTTATTAAAAATTTGTCGTATTTTATATTATTATATTTTAATTTTAATTTATTTTTATTTTTTTATATGGTAAAATACTAGATTTTTTCAAATTCCCTCACTTTTAAGCCTTTTATGTAATTACATGATTGTCCCATATACAAAGTTTAAAAGTCCTTTTATCTTAAACTCACCAAATATTTCCTTTAGATTTAAACTCTCTTTTTTTGCACCATTCACTATTTATTGTTCATCACCTGCTTTATTCTACACATAGTTATATAATTGCACAAGAGTGTGAAATAGCGGGATAGCAGCGCAAGTGCTAATGCAAGTGATAAACAATAAGAAATCCAGAAGTAATAATCTATGATCCCTGTATTATAATTAACGTTAAATATCATGTATATTTCTGTATTGTTTTAGCTGCCATCAGCACAATCGGTTTTGGTAACAATGTGCATTCAAAGAGTTCGTATACCTAAACTAGGAAATCTCCATTCTTGTCAAAATGGAACTTTATCGATGAATCTGTCGTCATTAAACAAACACAACACAAATTTGTTAATAGTATATCCACAACCAGGCACATGGTATATTATTAGTCATGCGACATGTTATAATTGGAATGGGTAAGCACTACACTAACTTCTATACATACAGTTGGATCTCCTCAATTCTAGAATCATTAAGGCTAAATTGTTTGTTATTCGGAAATTACTTTATAATTTCAATTTTCTTCTAACAGCATATGCACAGAATGATAGCTTTTTTTTACTTACTTTTTTATTTTATATCATATGACCATATATAATATAATCATATGACCATATATATATATTTATATCATATGACCATATATATATATTTATATCATATGACCATATATACAAATGTGTACATTGAATTCTATACATATATTAGAAAAAGCTTTAATATTCTAAAATAAATGCGATCCGAAGGAGCATCGAGTTTTATTGTCTCTTAATATAATTCAATCAGAAAGTTTATCTTATATCTTATAAAGATACATATTAATTTATAATTACTTATAACATTTTCTAAATTTTTCATATTCTTTTAGAGGAAAAAATAATTTCTATATTATTTTGATTAAATATGGAAAGAGAGAGATATCAAAAATAAGAAATATTATTATATATATGGTCTGTCCCAAAACTTTCTTTGTATAGATGGTGTTAGTAGTGCTATCTGTTTAATCAAGGTCATGCTGTCTTCTAGAAACTTCGTTAAAAATTCTGGTAAGTTTGATCGAGGTCCCACTAACAACTGATTTACTATAGGGGCAGATTTGAAGTTATCTTTTTGACACTCGTCGAGAAATCACCATGGAGCAAAAAGCCAACATCAAATTTTGTGTTAAATTGGGCAAATCGTTTACAGAAATACTCGAAATGTTACGGAAGGCTTATGGGAATCAAACACTATCATGTACAGCAGTTTATAAGTGATTCACAAAGTTTCGGGACGGTAGAGAATTGCTGGAAGATGACGAGCGCAGCAGACGGCCATCGACCAATCGAACGGACGAAACCGTAGAAAAAATTCGTGAATTTATCAAAAAGATTTCCATGTCTGTGAGACTCGTCGAGAATATCACAGGAATTAGCAAGTGAATTTAATACAGAATTTGATGTTGGCTCTTTGCTCCATGGTGATATTTGGACGAGTATCAAAGAGATAACTTTACTTCTGCCGCTATGATAAATCAGCTATTAGTGGAATCTCGATCACAAACTTATCAGAATTTTTAACGAAGATTCTATGAAGACAGCGTAACCTTGATTAATTAAACAGATAGTGCTACTAATACTGTCTGTACCAAGAAAGGAAACTTTTGGGACAGACCGTGTATATATATATATAATAGAATTCTTTTAACAGCTATCCCATTGTAAAATGAAATAAAATTTTTTGAATTTATACATGCTAGACAAAACTCTGGCATTCCAAATGCAATCGAAAAAAGACAGCAGCATTGGGTTTTATTATCTCTTTTAGTACATCTTTTTTTATCTTTAAATATATATTTTTTATTATTTTCTTCTTTCTCTCTTCCTCTCTTTATGTATGTATGTGCATAAAGAATGTTCCTAGCATAAATAGCCATCCCATTTTCTTTGATTCACTTTAACCAATTTTAAGTTGATTTTTCCTTTACAAAATTATCATGGCGACAAAAAGTGCAAACTATAAATGATTGAAAATAAAGGATTTTTTGAAAACTAAGCTTTGGAATTGCTAACAGGTAACAAAGTTGATTTTTTTCAGACAATTTAAAGTTTCAAGAATTTTAACAAAATCTTAATTTAATGTTTTATTATATTGTGTGATTGAAAAATTGTGATAACCAATTGTCAAATTTATGAAAAGAATAGTGCATATTCTATTAAATTTGAGATAAAAAAAAATTGATACAAGTTTGGCCGATTTGAATGCTTTTGATTTGGGATACTCTATCTATTGCAATATAGTATTATGTGTTCAATATAGTAAACCTGTACACTGTCAATATGGGAAGATTTCAATACTAATAAATGTACGCATCAAAAAGTGTGTACTTTCTGACCAAAGTCCTTGTGGTAATCATGGCGTTTGTCAAGAAATTCAGAAGAACGTTCTTCATTATGCAACATGTAATTGTTTTAAAGGTAATATCAACAATAAAGCAACTTTTATTAATAATTTTTATTGATTTGGAATAATTTTGTGATTAGAAATATTCTTGAATAATATTTAATTTCAAAAATAATAATACAGAAAAATTAAAATCGTACATTTTATATACAATATATCCTATTTTATCCTCTCTCTTTTTCTCTCTTCTTTCTTCTCTTTCTTTCTTTTGTACTATAGTTAGAATTTAATATTTTTCTCAGAAAGCATGACTTTAAATTTTTTAAATACTTAATAATGTTATAAATGTTGTGTTTATATGAGTTAATAATAAAATTTGCTTTAAAAATCAAAGCAAATTTTATTTTTGGAACAAAATATTCTTCTCAAATTTAATGCAGTGTAAGAGAGAGATGCATGAATGGAATCACAAAATTGTCTGAAAATTATAATATTTTAATCATTCAGGTTACACGGGATGGGATTGCACTGACATTTCGAATACTATCACTGCTATTTCTTCTTTCATGAGCGCCATGCTGCTCATTTTGAGCAATGCTTTTTTTATACCAGCTATATGTATAGCTATAAAACGGAAACTATATGCAGAAGGGCTAGTGTACTTAGCCACCATGCTGTGCTCGTCGCTTTATCATGCCTGTGATCAAAATGGTGGGCAATTCTGTATTGTCAAGTACGAAGTATGTCATATTGAACTATTTTGTTTTTAATCTTTCAAAACCAAGAATTTGATTTTGCGATCCTAAACTGAAGCTCCTCGAACATCTAGCTTCTTTCTGGACTGTCACTTTGACATGTATTCAAAGTTCTAAATTAATAATTTAAAAGTCGTCAAAAAATTAATTTGAATATTTAAAAGTTAATTTATATGTTACATGTTAAATATCGAATTTATATTTTGTTACACACTCTGTAAGATTTAAATTCTATAGTATTAAATTGATTTTATTAAAATGTAATTAAATAGTTTTATTATAATTGATAAACACAATAGTAACAAAGAAATTAATACAAATTTAATTAATTAAAATAAATAAAATAAATTTAACATCATTTTAATTAATAAAATTATTAATAGAAGAAATATCTCTCTCTCCTCATCCTTTCCCTTTTTTTTCTTTCTCCTTCCTCTCTTTCTTTTTCTACATACATACATATATATACATGTATACACACACATATTCTTTATGATATAATGTTTTTATATTTGATACAGGTTTTACAATATAATGATTTTTTCTCGAGTATTTTGGCGTTCTGGGTTACATTAGTATCAATGGCAGAGTTACCGATCGATTTTGTACCATTGTGCCATATGATAGGAGTTTTTGTTATCACTTTTGGGGTGCAAGTTGACAGGATGTGTTTGATCAGCATTTTGGTACCACTGTCGATGGGTATTATTATACCGGTAAATTTATGATATGTGTAAAAGGCAGAGTGTGTTATATTGCACAATATAATAACTTTTATCTAATTCATGATGTTTTTAAATGCACGTACAAAATTAAAACGGATCTAATTATGTACATGTAGTAAAAATATAATTAAATGTGGGTAATTTTGTGTATTTAAAAAAGTGTGGGGGAAGATGTAGAAATTAATAAGCAAATATTCAAAAGTATGAAATTATTGACAAATATTAAAAAAAAAACTTATCTGATTTTAATCTATCAACTAATCTAATAACATTAACATTAATGTTAATGTTAATAGCTTTACCGTATTTGGAATCAATTCCTAATTAGTTATTTAATGCGTGTTCATAAAAATATTACACTTTGCCTTTCATGAATATTTATTAATTTGAAATACAGTGTAGATAGTAAAAAAAAGCTTATATATAATTCTTATTATTGTATTGATCAATTTTAGTAAATTATTGTTAATATTACAAAATAAAAATGTATTGTGCTCTCTCTCATATTTATATACATATATAGAAATATATATAGAAATAATATACATATTTGTTATTTATAAAGATATATATTCTCTGTTATTGTGTGGAAGTATATATATATATTGTATGTGTGTGTATGTACACACATACACACACAGACACACACAGACACACACACACACACACACACACACACACACACACACACACACACGCACACACGCACACACACACACACACACTATTTATTTTTATTTTTTATTTAGCTTGAAATAAACTTTACATTACCAGAATTTTAAATAATAATTACAGAGATATTTAATCTCGAATATTAAAAAGTTGTGAAGAGTGAGATGGGATGCGATCAAACTTTTA